TCACCATCTTCCTTCCCTACTAAATTCAGTTTCCATGTGTACGTCGACATCCATTCCATTCCACTCCTTGTCTTATTTCCTCTTCCTTCCTAGTACTGTTGTGCAGGTTTCCAGTGTACCAGTGTTCTTCCACGCCCGATCTCTCAGGGATGTTGCTAAATATTTCCCACTTTGTTCTCGTAGCTGACGTGAAGATCTACAGACGAAAACTAACAAGTTGACAGAAGTGGCGAGGCAGCGCAAACGGGACTTCAAGTGAATGTAGAGAAGACACCCAACCAACAACAAGCACCAACCACCATTAACGGGAGAAACCTAAACGAAGTTGTCTCTTTCACCTACCTACCTAACCATCTACATAGGGACGCAGCATCGTTACAACTACAGGCGGCGGCACAAGCACAGGCACAGACAAGGATGTTGAAGGCAGCCAGGATCGGAAAGACAGCAAGACAACCTTCCTGCATTAATTTGAAATCAGTGTGGAGATCTACTGCATTGCACTGCACTGCACTCAGCACAAAGCGTGAACAACATCCGGATTTTGAACACCAAATCAGTTAAGTCAGTGCTTCTATGTGATGGATGGTTGAGAGACTTGTCGCGTGTCACGAAAACCACTTCCAACAAACTACAGACATGTCCCATCAACAGCTACCACCTACGCTCACTCAATACTGAAGATGGCGATCAGATGGCGAGAATAATAAGAATAAGTAACAAGGAACTCTGACTGGTTGGCAACGACCCAACCAAGAACCTATCACCCAACAAATCTGCAGAAGAAGAGAGTGGAGATGGATTGGGCATACACTGATAATGCCGATTGGGGATATCATGTGTCAGGTCAGGCCAGGCCAGGCCAAGTCAGACTGTTGAGTGGCATCCGAAGGGGGGACGACGAGTTGGGCGTCTGAAGTGAGGGTGACATGGAGGAGATGATGTGAGGAAGAAATGAGAGGTTGTGGGTATTGGTGGGGCCAGGTTGGAAAGGCTGCAGAGAAGAGAGTGAAATGGAAGCGTGTTACTGAAGCCCTATGTTCAACTAGGAACCCAAGTGAACAATAATAAATTCGTCGCAATATTAATGTGATGTTGGTACATAGGATATTTGAATAAAGTTACATGGGGTCGATGACAAACAAATTCTCGTATCTTGGATACATTTCCATTTATGACTCATCCACACCTAATTTCATTATTATTTCATATAAGGAGTAAACTTATACATAAATCATTCTGAATGTAAAATGTAAACTTATCAAAAAGCAGAAATTTATTGAAAATTCACTTCCCAAGAGAAAATTATTTCAGTTCAGAGGTGACAATTAGTGTACATATTATTATATATCTGATATTCATTAATCATTTTGGAAGACCTGTGCATCCTTTCAAAAAGTGCTCAACATGAGACCTGATAATTTTAGGGTTGTTTCATTACGGGGTTGTGACAGCGTACTTCTAAGGGGTCACAAACAGGATGAAACAGCTGCCCAGTGTTCCCTGGTCTTCAATATATCTTCAACTGACGTCAATCTCTGACGAAACTTAATTTTTCATGAAAGTTAGCTAAGCACAAAAATGTCTTCTTTAGTATATTGCTGCAGAAGGTGAATTAAACTCGTATTACTACCAGCTGTAGAATGATTTTTTGAAAAAGCATTATCGTCGCGTTTATGTACCATCTAGACATGACTTCATTTTCTTTCGACAGGCTAACCTGCTATCTTTTAGGCAAAATGATTCAAACTTTTTGAAATTAATTCATTTGAGAGTTTATGAGGGTTAGCTGGTTCCGAAGTAGGTTTCATCTGGAATTAACTTCGGTTGGAGAACACTTGAAAACTTGACAGTAGTGGAGAACGATTTCATCCTCAGCACTGGTGTTCGCGTAAATTATGGAGTCCAGGACCATTACATCTCTAGGTGAACACATGCTGAAAGTAGTCATCGTATTATAAGGGATTTGCTGAGGGATGAAGAAAATTAAGAAGTAACAAGTACGTCACTTGTCTGTCATATCATAATTTCGCAATTACAATTATTATATTATTATTTGTCCCTTGGGTTCCTACGGCTTCACTAGCACGTCTTCAGTGCACTCTGCAGTCTTTCCAACCTGGCCCCACCAATACCCACAACCTCTCATTTCTTCCTCACATCATCTCCTCCATGTCACCCTCACTTCAGACGCCCAACTCGTCGTCCCCCCTTCGGATGCCACTCAACAGTCTGACTTGGCCTGGCCTGGCCTGACCTGACACATGATATCCCCAATCGGCATTATCAGTGTATGCCCAATCCATCTCCACTCTCTTCTTCTGCAGATTTGTTGGGTGATAGGTTCTTGGTTGGGTCGTTGCCAACCAGTCAGAGTTCCTTGTTACTTATTCTTATTATTCTCGCCATCTGATCGCCATCTTCAGTATTGAGTGAGCGTAGGTGGTAGCTGTTGATGGGACATGTCTGTAGTTTGTTGGAAGTGGTTTTCGTGACACGCCGACAAGTCTCTCAACCATCCATCACATAGAAGCACTGACTTAACTGATTTGGTGTTCAAAATCCGGATGTTGTTCACGCTTTGTGCTGAGTGCAGTGCAGTGCAATGCAGTAGATCTCCACACTGATTTCAAATTAATGCAGGAAGGTTTGTCTTGCTGTCTTTCCGATCCTGGCTGCCTTCAACATCCTTGTCTGTGCCTCTTGTAGTTGAAACAGTGCTGCCTAGATAGGTGAAAGAAGCTACTTCCTTCATGTTTCTCCCGTTAATGGTGATTGGAGCTTGTTGTTGTTGGTGCGGTATCTTCATCCCTCTGTCTTCTCTACATTCACTTGAAGTCCCGTTTACGCTGACTCGCCTCTTCTGTCAACTTGTTAGTTTTCGCCTGTAGATCTTCAGGTTTGTGTGACATTAGACACATGTTATCGGCGAAATCTAAATCTTCGCAATTACAAAAGTGTCCCTAGTAGCATTTGGGATCGGTACGCCAAAAATTGACAAAGAAGAAAGGAATGATAATCTGTTTTGGTCGTTTTAAAGTGAATTTAAAGTCATTTTTCAGAGCAGTAGTATACGCACATTTATGTCAGATACGGACTAAGTACTGTCGGATTTTTATCGTCTTGCGGGGGAGCATGCTTAGGCATTTACTTTAGCTACAAATAATTCCCCTATGGTCAGACGAGATTCAACATTGATGCTAACTTTCATAGTTTTAACTGACTTAGTAAGCTGTGGGCATACGATCAAACATCCACGCCATTCAGCATGTTGTCGTGTTACGTTGGACCGCTCGCATGCCGTCCTCTAGCCTGTTAGTCAGAACGCATCGGTATTTTGGCACGATCTATCAAATATACTATTCCATCTGACTACTCTATCGTGTTCTTTCTTGGTCTCGCACTCAGGACATAAGACAAGTGAGAATAATTAGTGGTTGACCTTCACATCTGTCAAGTTTGCGTAAGATCAGTTTCTAAATACCTAATATGGGACAGTATTGATAATTATAGAAGTACATTATAATAGAAACCCCTATAAATTTATTCCAAGTTGGTTGCATAATCTGTATTTACTACCACATTCTACTAAGGATAACTTTCAAAGACAGTTCGCCCGTCAATCGAATAAATATCGAATACTGTGCTACCATTAATTCAGGAATTTTTGACAACGGACTTCAGAAACTCATTTCGTGTGCACTAGAACCATGTGACGTGCAATTCGTATTTGCTGCAGGTATGATGTGATTCAGTCAACTAGATACAACAGAAACTAGTTTCAGTTTGATATTCATCATGGTTTTTTGACTGTCCATACTCTGCATACTTCCTTTAGGATACACAGGGATTCAACCAAAGAAACTAGGTCTATTTGAGAACTTGATGCAAATAGATTCATAGCACTGACTGTTGTTCCTCTTCTTACTGAGTTGTGAGTGCATCTGCAGACCAAACTACGCAACTGCAAGCTTGTTAGTGTAAGCTATAAATCAGACATCTCGTTTAAAATCTCAACACTAAAGGTGTAACGTGATGAAAAGGAGAACCACAGTGACTCAAATAGCCATCATGGAAAGTTGTAGACTGTCCGTACTACGCTACCCATAAGGTCAGTTGTGTCGTTTCACCTAAGCATACACAGTAAATATGCCCCTTCAATAGGGTTAGTTGATATAAGGTTTCGTAGGCCTGCCACAGGCTGATTCACACTCAACGGGAGGGCCAAGAGAAAATATAGATAAGCTGTAGGCTTATGAATCAATAGCAGACATTTCTCACCCTTAGACGTTCGGGTTGCAAAACGTTACGCATTTTCTTCGTTATTTTAGTATAAACTCCCAAAAGCTTTACAATTTCATGTATAGTTTACTAAACTAAACGTTTTTAAGCAAAAGGTTTTGACAAATTTTAATGAATAAAGTCAGAATAACGTAAAATAAATACTACAGTGATAACAACATTCAAAATGGAACGACACGATCGCTCAAATGGTTGTAGCGTATTTAGCCTTGAGATATTTTGGTAGATGAAAATCGCTGAAACAATCGTAGATCCAGAAATTCCTGGAAGGTAGTAGTTCTGTTTGCCGTAGTTTGAATACTGCAATTGTATTTTTATTTATTCATTGTACCAGCACTTTCAAATAAAAAATATTAATCAGCAAAAGACAAAAATAATCCTGGAACTACTTCACATGATATCAATCCGCATGTCCAGCATGCGATCAAAATGAACTGTGAAACAGCTTTGTGAAGTGCCTACAGCTCTGAGTTGTTGTATTGGGTTTTACAGTCCGTTAGATGTTGGAGCTTACCTTTTTGGCGGCTTGCAAAGGTAATTGCGCGCACTAAAACCGGGTGATTCAATAAATTTCAGCGCGCATTTCAACATTTTCCGTGACATTGTTTGGAAGTTATGTTTCATCTTCTTGCTTCTTAGTTATCTTTAAATGCCTTGTGACAATATACGTATTACTGGTTTCTTATTGAAAAATTATTATGGAATATGGTAACACTAACATGGGTGGCAGTCAGCAGATATACGTTTCGCAGTCTCAAGAGCCACCGAGAGTTTCAGGATGTAACCCCCAACATCTTGCTAATACTTTCCCTGGAGTTGACTGTAATTCATCGAGTCGAAATTATGGCCCTTATTCACAACCATATCAAGCTAATGAGTACAGTGCGTCACATAATTCTCATATTGGAGGACCTCCAGGAGTTTATCAGCAGTCGTTCTCTGGTGAAGCTCACGGCCAGAACTTGACACTCAACCAACTCTTGCAACAAAACAGTTCTTCAAGTACATATCAGGTCCGCCCAGTTAACAATTCGCAACCAGTTTATCGGGGTTACGATCCATATTCGTACACATATAAACCCGGTGCACCCTCTTGTGCAGCACAAGGTCGAACTCAGGTAAAAGTCTTCCCATTTTTATATCTACTTGAGGATTTCTTTTGTTTTGTAACATTATTCTATATTCTGGTTCAGTAATAGACTTATGCTAAGTGTTTTAATTCAGTTGAGTGGATAAGAAATAAGCGAATTCTGACTTCGTCTTTGCATTTTAAAGTATTATGGTCGTCATTTCGCTCGTCACAAGTGTAATTTGATACCGTATAATAGTCTAGGTATTCATCTAGCTTGCCAAAACAAAATTGTACTTCGTAAGTTTATTCTAAGAACAGCAGCACAAATGAAATCTTTCACCATGTGCATCTTAGTGAGAAGTCAAGATTTTCAATCACATTAATGTCATAATCTCAAATCCATTTCTCAGTCCCAGTTCGTTCATCGAATCGCTGTAAACAGATTTGATTGTGTATAGGTATGCCGAGATGATGAGTCCCTTTATTATTTACGTTTTGTTGACTGCACCCTGCAAGAATTTTACACCACTTAGTGTGTTGCGTTTAGTATCAAAATCCAACTGGATGTAGTGAATAAAGCTGTCGTTTGAACTTTTGAGACAGGAAAATGCATTCACTCTTTTGGCCTTGTTCACAGTGAGCTATATATGAGTTGGGCCGTTCACAACAAAAACAGATATGGTTAGTGAAGTTATAAATCTGTGCTTACTGAGGTAACTGGTTCATCAATAAGAGGCAGTGAAAAGTCACAGTATGATCATAACCATTTATGACAGTAAGTTACGATTTCACCAACTATTGACTCCCTATGAAATCGCATGTTCTGCACTAGCTGATTGCATTATTATCATCAGTATCAATAGCAACGGTCCGAGTTGCCACATCTCACATCAGTCCATCAAGTTAGAAGGCAGTGAGGTGAAGGATGAAGATAAGAAAGTTCAGTAAAAAGAAATATAAAGTACAAAACGAGAGAAAGAAAGAATGAGAAAATGGTGGGATTCGGTATAGCATCGTTAAGATGATAATGTGTGTATACATCTGCGCCACTGACATCGGTTCTCAGCCATATCCCCTAGAGTCTCCAACCACTGATTCCTCTTGTCCCGCGGACCCCAACCACCTAGTCTGCATCGTCCCACATGGCTCAAACCAACAGTCAGAGACTTCATACATTGGTGCCATGTTTTAGACTGGCCACCTCGGGCCTTTTTCCAGCCTGGGCCTACTTCGGCCAACATTGTGTGACGAGGCAATCGGTGACTAGGCATACGTGGTACGTGTCCCAACCATCTCAATCGATGAAGGTTCATAACCTCGTCAACTGATTTACCTCTACTCCCTAAAACTCTATACCTGACTTCTGCGTTACTCACGTGGTGACACCATGGAATACGGCCTATACTACGAAGGCAATGGTGGTCAAACACCTGAAGCTAGCCTTCTCATGTTTTCCACCTTCAATGGCCATGTTTCACAGTCATACAGTAGAGCAGAGCGGACTACTGTGCAGTACACGCGACCCTTAGTAGACAATTGGATATCACGGCGGCGCCGTAGGTGGCGTAAGTAGGCAAAAGCCAGCCGAGCCTTTTGTATTCATGTAGAGATTTCATCGGCCACTGAGCCACCAGAGGTGATCCGACTTCCTAGGTGAGTGGAGTGGTCAACCCACTCAACCACTACACTCTGTTGTTAGCCGTGGCACTGTTGAAGACCGGTCCTGGAACAACAATTTGCATTTAGGTGATGAGAAACGCATCCCAAACTCTCTCAAATTTCCACTCAGGGTTTTCAAAAGACTCTTGTCAGCGTCTTCACCTAACAGGACTATATCATCTGCGCATTCTAGGTCTATCGAAAATTCTCCAGGGATTAGTTCAACGTCTGTGTCATAAGGTGACGAGAGGGAGGCCTCTATGAGAATATCTGTGATGAAATTGAATAGGAATGGAGAGAGTGGGTACCCTTGACGGATACCACTCGATGAGCATGGTTCCCTGGACATCTTACATAGGCTCTAACACGTCCACAAGTGTTCGAGTAGAGAGCCTTCAATAAGGTGATGTACTTACTCGGCACGCCTTTCAGTGACATTGCCATAAGACTTCTCAGCTGATTAGTCCGAGTAGAAAGTAAGTGTTACCTCTTCGTCCGTTCTTTCCGGAGCACATGTTGAGACTGAACATGGTTTACTGTGTGCTATGCTCATCTTGCACTAAGATCATCAAAATCGTCCCTTTGAACCAGTCAATTTCAGCAAATTGACTGCATACAGTATTGCAACCGAACCGATCTGAATTTAAAGTTATCTGCCAAATCTCCTCAAAACATAAGTGAGTATTGGTAGCAACTACGATGCCGCAGAAAAAGGTGAGTTGAGCTGCTTACGGCTTCTAAGTTCTAACCAACACTGAGCTCTTGACTCCTGCAACATCTTAAAGTACGGTAGTCTCCCGGCACAGGGACTACAATAGTAAATCCCTTAGGCATAAATTTAGCAACTCTTACGTAAGGACCGTAAGACCTAGTAATCAAACTGCGCGATTAAGATAAAGGAAGCAGCCTCACCTGATAATAGTCAGCTGTTCTAGCTCATCTGAGCCACCAGATGCAATAAGCATCGTACCCTTTAGATGGACTATAAAGTAAGTAGTACATCGGAATGTGTCGACCACTTCACTTACTTGTGTGAGTTGCATCATCCCGAACAGGCTGATTGCTGACAAAATCTCAGCCGGGATACAAAGGGCCCTTGTGGCATTTGCCAACTCTTGTCACCTGTGGCGCCGACTGACGAGATATGCAACTACCCATCAAAAGACGAGGATACTACGCTGCAGTCTGTTCTGTCATGTTTTACACGTGTGAGACATGGCCATTAAAAGTAGGAGGCATAAAACAGTTACAGTTTTTCAACCATATATGTCTTCGTAGCATTGCTCGCATATGGTGGAATCACCGTGTGAGCAATGTTGAGATCAGAGGAAAGGTACTAGGCAAGACAGGCAAGTCGATTGACGAGGTTGTAAACATTAGTCGACTGAGATGGCTTGGACATGACATGTACTGGGCACGCCAAGCCACTACCTACGTCGACATGTCATGTTAGGAGAAGTTGGATTAGGATGGAAAAGGGTTCGGGATGGCTGGACCAAGACCTGCCACCAGTCCACGAAGTCCCTCACTGTTGACCTGAGTAGTGTGGGGAGATGTAGACTACCTGGTTGGGGTTCCCGAGTCCAAATGAATCAATGGTTGAGGGCACTTGGTGATATGGTTGAAAACCCACACTAATCTTTGTCTTCAGATTGTATATTCTCTCACACTACTGTGTTTGGTTTGATATCACTATTTTTCTGTCCACGTGTTCTCTGTATACCACTGTGAAGTGTGGCAATTTGAACCGATGCGTATGTGTGCGAGGCTCTTCGTTGATTCCGTCAGCCAGTCAGTCAGTTGTGTATGGCACTAAGTGAAACACGCAGTGAAGTCATTTGACTGAACTGTTGTTCCAAAAGCATCGACTTTAGTGTGTTGATGTTTTATGGTTACCCCCTATCCGTCTAAAGCAGAGTTCTGAAAGGGCTTTCAAGTACTAAAGCGCCATAAGATGTCCGACCCTTGCAACTTACCCCCAACTGTTTCCAAAACGTTTGCAGAGCTGGTCTGCGAAGATAAGGTTGGGTATCAGTCAGGTTGCAGGTGCATTAATCACGTATTCACCTTTCGTGGGATTTTCAAACACCAAATTTCAGCCCAGCAATCGTTGTATTTCTTGATTCTTAATTCTGTGTATGGTTCTTTTAACAAGATTGCTGAGGGATTGTTTGTTAGAATCGGATGTCTTTAAAATCCTAATTCTTGAAGCTCTTGTTCAAAAACGTATACGACCAACTATCGTCACTACTGAAAACTAACAGCGGGCTTAAACAGAGCTGTCTAACTTTGACTTTCCTCAGTGATATCGGTACGTCTCCGAAACAGGTGCGTGGTCGTGGTGTAGGTCTACCAAGTGAGAGATTTCCAACCAGAGGTAAACGGAAGATATCGTTTAGCTACGTGCGATAGCCTACAGGCTACCTGAGTTGCATTAAGTCCGCGGATCAGGACTCTGGATGAGGAACGATTTGACAGTTGTTTGATACTCTTCGAATTTCGAGGTTGGGCGAAGGATACTAGACAAGATTAGCAAGTCAGTCGATAAGGTTGTGAACCTTCGCCGATTGAGGTAAAAACGTTTACTCAGCAACCATGTGTACATTCATGTGTGTGAAGGCTATTGATACTGCCTGGCTGCCCAAACTTTAATAGGTGGAGCGGGGTTCGTACCCGTGGCCCACTAGTTGTCATTTCCCTAAACCAATGAGCCACAACTCCATTGACTGAAGTGGCTTTAGTATGTGTTACACATCCTGAATCTAGTCCTTGAGGTCTTCCACTCTTGGTCCTAGCTGAATAGGGAGGTGAGGACTGCATGATTGGGGTCCTGAAAACAGTAGGAATCAATAGTTGGAAACCCTAGGTGACTTGGCTGAAAAGCGGTCGCAATGATACAAGCTTATTCAATCTTTGACGTGTTCTAAGCCTAAATACATTTGCTAACTTTCATTTTCCTAACTTTCCCACCATACACTTCTGTCAAAACTTGACATCACTTTTTAATCACTCATTCTTCCCATGCTGCTTTAAATTGCGATGACTTGGACCGATGCCCTTCTATGCGAGGTTCTAACATTGGCGCACTAACACCGTAACTAGCTCTATTTCTCGACCTCAAGACAACTTTAACCTATGGGTTGGCATCAATGCATAGTGGACTAAGTTATCAATCCTCACAGCATTAATATGAAAGATAAAAGAATAGGTAAGAATCGGTCAAAGTAGAAGAATGTAGCGAAAGAGAAGGAAGGGGAACAAGAAATACTGAATTCATTATGACGGTTAAGGTGAGGATAATCTGAGGTATGGGTACAGGTACATCTGTGCCGCTGAGATAGATTCTCGGCCATATCACCCTTAGTCTTCAACCACTGGTTTCTATTTCCACGCTGACCTCAATCTGGAAGTCCACATCACCTTATATGGCTCAGACCAAAAGTTAGGGATTTCACACAACAATTCCATGTTTTAGTCTAGTCAACTGTCGGCTGACAGGTCTTTTGGCAGTGTATCACTGAAAAGAGTGCTGAGTATGTACACCATTCTATGATGTACACTCGTGGAGGTGTTAGGGTCTATGGTAAATTGTGTAAGTCGAGTGTTGTCCGTCAGTGATGTTCACTCTCCATTGTCTTTCTCATAGACGTACTTATAATGGTTCACCTCTCGTCGTCTGACTTAACAGGGATATGTCTTATAGCAAGAAAATCTTTAGTAGATATAGGGTAAGGAGATGATATAGTCCTAATAAGTGAAAACGCTGATAAGATGCGTTTCTCATCACCCAAATGTAAATTTCTGCTTCACGATGGGTCTTCAGTTGTGCCCTGTCTAACAATAGGGGTTGAAATAGTTGATTGCCTTGATCACTTCATTTTCCTGGGAAGTAGGATCAGTCCTGCTGGGTCAGTGACCGACTAAATCTCTACGGATATAAATGGTTTTCATGGCTTTCGTTAACTTACACTATCTGTGGTGCCACTTTGCTATCCGATTTTCCACTAAGGGTGGAGTGTGCTGCTCTTCAGCTCGCTGTTCTACATGGTTGTGAAACATGGCCCTTAAAGGTGGACATGAGAAGGCTACAGGTGTTCGACCACCGTTGCTTCGTAGCATTAATCATATGTCATGGTGTCACCAGGTCAGGAATGCAGAAGTCAGGTTTAGAGTTTTAAGAAGAATAGGTAAGTCATTTGATGCGGTTGTGAACGTTCATTGAGTGAGGTGGCCAGGACGTGTGTTACTCATGCTTGGTCTTCGTCTGCCTCGTCGAATAATGCAACAAGTAAGTTTGTTCTGGAAAGGAGTTTAGAAATGACCAAACTATAACATGGCATCGTTGCATGAAGTTATTGACTGTTGGTCAGCCGCGTTGGAGAAATGTAGACTTCCCGCTTGGGGTCCAAGTGACAACAGAAACCAGTGGTGCATCCATCATATCGAACGCCTTTTAAGGTTTCTGATTAATACTTCGTTCACGTTACAGTTTTTGTCGCTTATATCAATCTTTCGCTAGACTGTGTAGTTAGTCTATTGCAAAGAGCCAATAAGCTATTGGAAATGTCGTTGCTTGAGGTCTCTTCACTCCAGAAAAGTCTTTTGGATAGCGGTTAGACTAAAAGGACTTATATCGTAGTCTAAGTGCCGTACGCTATGCTGAGGGTCCGACAGCGAAATCGTACTGCTGGCTAGACGGATGTGACAGTTGTTAGGTCGAGCTATTGCTCATTGATCTGAGTAATTAGTTTTTAACCAGTGGGTTACACGCTCAAATCCTTCTCCACTTATCGGGGTTTAGGCAACCAGGTAGTAACAGCCTTCATACATTAGGTGTGACTCATGTCTGTGTTGTACCAAGTTCGTGTTATAAACAAAACTGTCTCATTGTCTTGTACTGGAATATACATGTAGTTGTCGATCATATTCGTTCGATAGCAGTAGTGTTTCTTGTGTATGAATAACAGTCCTTCCGTATCGGAAGGGTTTAGAAAAGGTGTCCTAGATATAGTTTACTCCTGTCTAACTTACGGCTTCTAATGCTTCTGGCATAGACTTATCTGACAATAGCACAATAAAATCGCAATTCAAAGCTTTTAAAAAGACTGTGACCAACCATGAGCAGATGTCTTTTGGGCTGTGCGGTTACTCAGTGGCAACCCATTTCTTTCAGTATCTTACAAAAACAACTATGAAATGTGCAGCCGGGAAGTACTAACCACTCACACACTTTCGGCAGTATACAAGGCCCAAGTAACCATTATCTACCTTCTTTACTTTCACCCCCCTTCATGAAACTACAACATTAAGCTCCTTACGGATTCATTAATACATGAGTAAAACGCGTACACTATGGTGGAATGTGATTCCATTTTAATTGATTTATTAGATTTATCACAGTGTCAATCAATCGATCAATATCAACATAGGACCAGGCATTACTGCGTAACGGTACTAGTTGCCACATCTCACATCAGTCCATCAAGTTAGAAGGCAGT